CTAAGTGTGAGTTTTTACAGGACGGACTGGAGTTTTTGGGACACATAATTTCAGCTGATGGAGTGGAAATAGACCCGAAGAAAATTGCGACGATTCAAGCATGGCACGCGCCGACCAACTTGACCGAGTTGCAGAGTTTTCTGGGGTTTGTCAACTACGTGCACCGGTTCGTCCTCGACATGGCGAAGTTGACTGCCCCGTTGACCGACCTGCTGAGAAAGGGGGTTGAGTACACGTGGGGGGAGAAAGAGCAAGCTGCCTTCTCGGCCCTCAAAAATATTTTGTGCTCGCCGCCCGTGCTTCACATCGCAGATCCGCACCGTCCGTTCGAGCTCGTCACCGACGCTAGCGACATTGCTGTGGGAGCAGTACTGTTGCAGGACTTCGGAAACGGCCTCCAGCCAGTCGCGTACGAGTCCCGCAAACTTCACCCGCCCGAACGCAACTACCCAATACACGACCGCGAGATGATGGCGATCGTGCACGCGTTCAAGGTGTGGCGATGTTACCTCACGGGAGCAGACGTGACAGTACGGAAAGACCACCGATCACTACAGTACCTTCGCGCCCAACCAAATCTCAACCCCCGACAGATCCGCTGGTTGGACTATCTGGAGTCCAACTTCCACTACACGGTCACGTACAAAAAAGGTGCATCCAACATCGCCGACGCACTCACACGCCCCACCACCCAACTCCACGCCATCCTACTCGCACAAACCAACCCACTGCTAACAGGCCTATTCACCCACGGATACTGGACCGACCCATTTTTCACGACCGGAAATTCATAGCAACTTGCAGAAGATAAAGGAGTCTATTACGTAAGGACAGGCACCAACCGCATCTGGGTACCCGCGTACTCACTACTGAGGGAACTGTTACTGCAGGAGGCACACGACGAGATTACCTTGGGACATTTCGGGGTAGAAAAAATGTGACAGAAATTGCAGCGGTATTACTACTGGCTGGAGCTGTTGACCGACGTACAGCACCACGTGGGCTCGTATCCTACGTGTCAGGTGATGTTGAGCTTGTGAAAAAGAAAGGCGGGTCAGTTGCAGCCGATTCCACCGCTTGAGCGCGCCTGGCAGCAGGTTGCCATGGATTTCGTCACAGGGTTACCTTCGAACCCTGGGGGTAACGACGCAGTTATGGTCGTCGTTGACAGGTTGACGAAGATGGCACACTTCGCTGCGTGCAAGAAATCGATCTCAGCCGAAGAAACCGCTCGCCTGTTCATCGCAGCCATCGTTCGACTGCACGGGATACCAGCCGCAATAATCAGCGACCGCAACACGAAGTTCACCAGCAACTTCTGGAAGAACCTCTGGGAGCAGTTCGGGACCAGGCTACAGTTCAGCTCGTCGTACCATCCCGAGACCGACGGTCAAACGGAGCGGACGAATCAAACGATGGAGCAGTTGATTCGTGCCACGTGCGACGACCCGACAAGTTGGGAGCAGCAGCTGCCGCTGATTGAGTTCACGTACAACAACGCCACGTCAGCAACGACGCAGCAGTCCCCGTTCTACCTGAACTACGGGCAAAACCCTACAGTGCCTATGACGCCGAGTCCGGACAACCCAACGTCACGTGCACAGCAATCCGCCGAAATTCTGCAAGCTGCCCGCACCAGAGCCGTTGAAGCAATTAAAAAGGCAAACGTCATCGCTAACCGCAATGCTGACCGCCACCGCCGTGTCAAACTTATATGCTATAGTCTGTGTAGGCTCGTTCTCCTCCAGTTCTGTACGTAGACAACAAGGCCATGCTGGCCTTGTGTCAGGAGCACAGACTGGAGCACAGAACGAAGCACATTGCTCTTCGCTACTTCCTTGCTCGTGAGCTGCCGCAGCGTGGTCAGCTGCGCCTTGCTTACGTGGCCTCTGAGGCCAACACTGCTGATATCTTTACCAAGGCACTTCCGCCTGGTGATCATCAGCGCTTCTGTACGATGCTAGGTCTTGTGCCTACTTGGCCTCACTTGCTCACTTCTTGACCTTGCTTGTACTGTGATCTTTCTATACCTGCACTTGCTTGTTTACCTTTATATATGATCTTGCATGTGAACTGGCCTTGTGACCTTGCTCTTGTGCTCGGAATGTGTGGTGACTTTGTGATCCACCCTGAGCTTGCTTTGCTTTGCTTGACTGGTCTTGTGACCTCTTGTTCTCCCCCACTTTGCCTATGGGGGTGTGTCAAACTTATATGCTATAGTATGTGTAGGCTGTAGTGGGGTAGACAATATGGGGTACAACATTTCTAGGTTTTCCTACTTGTACCCACCTCTTTCCTAGTTCATTCATTCCTCATTCTTCACACGCCGCCCAGTCACGTACTAGTCAGGCAATTACGTATCGCTCGACACACAGAACTTAAGACTGCCCGTCGTACCGAAATTACGACCGCGTTACTGTGGACCATTCCAAATCAGCCACATGGTTACCCCAGTGACAGTGCATTTACTGTTGCCGACAGACTGGTACATCAGCCCTTCATTCCACGTCAGCCTGCTTCGCCCCTACATCCCTACCACAAGCCAACTGCCTCGTCACCGCCCGCCATCCATGACTCGCCCTGCATCAGAGTCGATCATCGAGCCCGAAATAATCTTGAGCCATTGGATTCGACACCCCATGAGAATCCGGAGGATTGAATTCCTCGTTCGCTGGAAGGATCGCACGCCAACTGAGGATAGCTGGGTGCCGCTGGCCAACATCGAAAACCACCCTGCCGTGCAAGTGTACCTGAGGAGCCGGGGCTTCCGCGATATACACGCACTCGTGTAGCGGAGGGGGCTTCTTGAGGGGGGGGGGGGGTAGTGTAAGGAATTTTCTCGACATTCCTTAGCGCGCCCTGCAACATCGCGTACAGCAGCAGCCGTTGTTCGCCCGTTACTGCTAACGGGGCTTCGCCGACTTCGCGCGCATTGTTTCACCAAACCTCGCACTGCTGGCCTGGCCGTGTCGGCCTACGCTTCGGGAATAGCCCGAACCTCACTGCCAGCATAGCACTAGCTACAGGCCCTCAGATTCACTTTAAGGGACGTTGATGCATCAGGGTCCCTGTGAACAAAACCCTGATTTTCAGTGTTCCTAAAAAAAAAACCCTGAATTTTCAGGGTTCCTAAAAAACAAAGCCTGAATTTTCAAGCAAATGAAAACCTTGTGTACAAGAGTAGGCTTTACGAAACATGACAGCGGAGGGATTCGAACCGGGCCCTTACCCGTCTGTAGAAAATCACAAACCACTGAGACAGTTGATCCACTAAACCTTCAATCTCTTACGTTCTCGTACGTGAAAAAAAAATCAGAAAATGTTGGTTGACAGGAAGGATTCGGAATGTGCATTCAGTGTACACTTCGATAAAAGACTGAAAAATCAGTGTCAACTATGAAATAAAGGCTGAAAAATCAGTGTCACAAAATTCTCAACACTGAAAAATCAGTGTAGGTACAAAAAAATCCCTGAAAATCAGGAATTTCAGGAAAAAATTCCTGTTATCGTAGGGCCTGACTAGCTAGCTTGCACGCACCGCGTTACCATTTGCATGTTTCGCGTATAAATGTTCGCTCATGCCTTAGCTCACATTTTGTACTAGTTTGACACCTTAGTGCAATCCTCGCTACCTAGATTCATTGCACCAGTAACACCTTCAGAGGCTACACCTACTGTTGAGATACCAATGAGCTTGTGGGCAGGAGACGGCTGTAGCCAAAGAGGCAGATGATCACTTTCTTGCATAGTCTTCCCGTTGAGGAACCCCCGATATACGACCGCGTGGGAGTCCCTCATGTGTATCCTGTATCCTGTATCATGTGAACTGGTTTTTTCAAACCGACTCCCTCGATTCTGTCTGCTTGGCGTCACACGGGCACATAGGGCGTGTCAGATAAGTTCACCTCATTACGGTGGTGTACGATGCTGTGCATTTCAGAGAGGCCTATAAACACTTCTTTACGTTTGGGTAGGGCTTCATCAAGAATCAACTCACATGAATGACACGTCCTCAAACCAATCTTATTTCCCGCTTATGTCGACTGAGACAGCAGCAATGTTTGGCACACGGGCCACTGCCATGGCACCAAGCGTATCCAAAGAGTGGAGAATGCTCAGCTCTTAAAACTTTATAAACGTTTTGCTTTTGAATCACGTAGGACTAGGCGAGGATTTCCCGTTTGTTGAAAATCGACGTTCTTTCGACGGAGTTCGCCTCCGACAAATTCGGCGGTATTGGTTCTCGTCGACCAATCACGAGCCGCAGTCACGCGACGTCATCTGAACCGTCCTTCCTCGTCGCGGAACCCTATCACTCAGATCAGCCGTCGATTCCGTTACCTGTTCGTCCCTGTACTCCGCAGCAGCACCTTCGTCAGGCCTCTTGCTACGCTCGCGAACCATATGCGACTCTTGCGGCGTTTGCGAGTCTAGCTGACAGTTTTTATTTCAAGATCTTAACCCGGCGCCAGTCCGCCATGGCGTGCCGACCGATTGTATCGCTGGCTGTCGCACTGACTCTGCTGCTGCTACTGACTCTATCAGGTATCTCAACCATTCAGGTCTCTCACCCCATCAGGTGTCGCGGCCAGTCAGGTTTCTCACCTAATCAGTATCTTACTCTCTCGCTCTCGCTCTTTCTTTCGTTCTCTTCCCTCACAGTCCGCCCCTCCCAGCAGCAGCAGGAGCAGCAGCAGCTACAGCAACAGGAGTCCCAGCGTTCCGGCAACCAGCAATACACGGACAATCCTTACAGTTTGAACTTCCAACCTACTGACGGAAACGGAGGCGGAGACGGGGGAGGGGGCGGTGGCGGCGGCGGGGACGGCGGCGGAGGCGACGGCGGAGGCGGCTACAGCGGCAACGGTGGCGACGGCGGCAGCAGCGGTGACAGCGGCGATGGCAGCAGCTCCTCTGGTCCCTCCTTCGGTCCCCGCCATCACCATCCCGGGCAGGCAAAGCCCGAGGAGGTTGACGACGGCGCGTGGAGGGACGAGCACATGTACACGGCAGAAGGCGAGTTCATCCCACACGTGTCTGCATACGCGGACGAGGCGGCTATCACGGAGGAGGGGTGCCGGGTTGCAGTGAACGCGTATGTGGAAGAGCAGTTGGCGCAGGCTCCGCCACCGCTGAACCTGTCTGCGGTCTTGCAGCCGCTCATTCAGCCGCTGCTGTTCTTCCTGCACATTCCGCGCACGGGAGGAAGAACGTACCACATGTGGTGAGGCGGGGAGTGGTTTAACTTGGAATGTGGGTGCTGTAGTGGAAACGAGACGCGGCTGTTTTGTTTGGGGCGCCGAGTTCAGGATTTGAGCTCAGAATCCTTTCTTTTCAGTGTGTGCGTGTGAACATGTGCGTGAGTGTGCGTGTGAACATGTGCGTGAGTGTGCGTGTGTGTGCGTGTGCGCATGTGTGCACACGTACGTGATTCATGCTGCTTGGTAGTGTTAACATTCAATAATTAGTTCTGGTTGTTATGCATGCCTGACGTTCTGTTGTGTTGTTCGTCCTGTGTTATGTTGTTCCCTGGCAGTTTTCTGAAGCCATTGTACCCACTCAGCCTGCGCTGCCCTCGCTCTTATGACACCCTTCGACTCGACCCCTCGTGAGTTGTTGCGTGCACACACATGTGCATGAGCCATGGCTATGAGCTCGGTGTATCATGTATGTGTGCACTGTGCAATTCGGCATGCGAGACACTGCGGTTTTGGTGCCAATGCATCATCATCAATCTCTGGTGAAAAGTACAGATAGAAGCAAGCTACACGTCTGGTAATCTGAATGCGTGGCAAGGAACAGAACAGCATTATCAGTGGCACATCGCACGTTCGCATAACGCACGGGACGAGCTGTGTTTGCTGCACTTGCTCTTAGGATCGTAAACACCTTAGTCGGCAATAGTCTACTTGCTATTGCTTATCGTGTTCTCCACGATCTCACGAATCCAATGATATGCGCAGCTCTGCTTGAAGTTGTCAATACACACTTCAGCAATTTCCAGAATCTCCAAGTTGTGTTTTCCAGAATGAGTACAAGCAGTTTTATAGTCAAGCAAGTCACAAAATGCGATTCGTAACTTCACTTGTTTCCCAAGTAACCGCGTGCGCCTCGTTTCACCCCGAGTCGCACACGGAACCGAACCGAATTCGGTGAACACTCCTCAAGACCGAATCTGGAACCTTCTCGAACGCGCCTTGGTCTCAGACCACAATTTCCCCCGTCGATCTCATCCTCGATGCTTCTCCTTCTCTCTTCCTCCATTTCTTTGGTTCCTTCTCGATTTCTCTCCCGCTTCTCACGCCGTAGGCTGATTTCCACCGTTTCACCTAGAATCATCCACGCGCTTCCATTTCGCCGTCATTCCGCCGTCGTAGAGACTTTCGCCATAGGTTCCGTGGTTGGGCGAACCAACCCTAACAATCTCCCCTGTGGTTCGTCAACCACGAACTCCACTCGCACTCCTCCCCTGCTTCTTGTAGCCTTCACAGGGTCTAAGTCGGCTTCAAGCTCTCCTGCAGGTCCTCCACCTTGAACCTCTCCTTACGTGTCTTGAATTTGAGCGCCTTGACGTCCAAACCTTGAGACATTTTCTTAAGCCTCTCACTTCTCCTCGGCATCTTAACACCCAACACCTCTCGGGTCTCGTACCCCTCAACGTGTTCCTCCTTCGTAAGCACTCGCCCCTTTGCAGTTGCTTTCTCCTTTGATCCCTTCACCAGGATGTCCCCTTTCACAGCTTCAACTCCCATATACTTCTCATTTACTGCTTCATCTTCAACCACGATCGCTGCTGCAAAAGTGTTGACATCGTCTCCATCTCCACCGTTTACTGCTGCTGCCTCCATGGTCACTATCTCCTCTTCCTGCTTCACTGCTGCCTCCACACTCGCAGCCATATCATCCGAGTCCTCACTCTCATCATCCTCAGTAGACTCAGGATCCTCATAAATCTCATCCTTATCGTTCGTCGCGACCAAGTTCATCTCATAGAACCCATCACTGAAGTAACCATCAGCATACTTCTCCCACTCAGGACCAAACACTGTAACCTCGCCTTTGTCATAAAATATCTTGCACCCCAAGTCATCAAGCTGTGACTGACTGACCAAATTCACCTTTAAATCCTCAACCAGCAGCACACTGTCCAGTTTCACCTCTCCATACGGACTCTGCAGCACCACGTCACCCTCTCCTGTCACTGGCAACTTCCCGCTGTTACCTTGCAGTATATAATCCTCACTCGAGTCCCTCACATTCTCCATCCAATCTGTCCTGAATGTCATGTGACGCGTGCATCCGCTGTCCATGAACCATGCCGTCTTCTCACGATCGTCCGTCTGCCGAACCTCCTTTGATAAACGCACCACGTTCGCAAGATGCACTCCTCCAAAAATCACATCTTCCTTTTCCGCTTCTGCTACATTCGCCTTTGCCGCCACATTCCTCTGCTGCGACGGACCCTTGTAGCTCCTGCTATTCGGGTTGGAGTAGCACTCTGCGGCACGATATCCATAGCGCCCACAATAGTCGCACTTGCCGCCAAAACCCCGTTTCTGCTGCCACTCCGCTCCCCCATTTTCTCCTTTATCGTTCTCCAACGCTTTGCCTTTGTAGTTCCTGCTTCGCGGATTTTCGTAGCAGTATATCGCCTTATGCCCCCTCTTTCTACACTGGTAGCACGCTCCAAACGCCTTCGTTGCATTCACCAAAGCCGACCTCTCCTCGTCTAATTCCGCTGCTGCTGCCGCTTTCTTTTTCCTCATCTCCTTCACCGTCTCAAGCGATTGCAGAATCTCCTGCAGCTTCGTCAAACTCTCCGGCGGTTGGTACGTAAACATACCGATGTCAGATTCCCACTCCTTAGGAAGGCCTTGGATGATATAGTCGATCATCTCGTGCTCCGTCTCCGCGGCTCCCATCACCCGCAAGTCGTCGTTGTAGTTTTTCGCCCTGTTGATGTAGGTGATGATTTTCTCGCCTTTCTCCATGCTCAGCATCAGCAGTTGCTTCCTAATCGCCTTCTTGTTGACATCGTTCGTGCCCATGTACGTGGACTCCAGGTACTCCCACGCTTTCTGTGCAGAGTTCAGCTCCTCTGCAAACTGGTCCAAATCCACCGCGATTCCGTCGGCAACTGAGTGACAAAGCTGAAAGAACGCTTGCTTACTTAGCTTTTTAAACGCCGCTATTTTCTCCTTCGTATCCGTCGGGGATGGCGCAACTCCCTCCATCGTCTCCTCGTCGGGACGGTAGTACGGCAAGAGGTCAACCTCCTCTGCCCTCCGAATAAACTTCTTCCGCCACACGTTGTAGTTGCTTCCGTTGAAGCGCTGGGCTTCACTGAGCCCGATCGTCGGTTTCGCCACCAATCGGCCACTCGCAAGGGCCTCGAGAAGAGCCTTCAACTGCGGGTCTCCAAGACTCACACTGGAACCCGAACTCGCCTCGTCTCCCATGGCGTAGGCGTGAACGACTCCTCTTCTCCACTAATTTCACTTAGCGCACCAAGTGAATTTACGACGACCGACGCGACCGTTCGCCAAGCTCTGATACCAGTTCTTAGGATCGTAAACACCTTAGTCGGCAATAGTCTACTTGCTATTGCTTATCGTGTTCTCCACGATCTCACGAATCCAATGATATGCGCAGCTCTGCTTGAAGTTGTCAATACACACTTCAGCAATTTCCAGAATCTCCAAGTTGTGTTTTCCAGAATGAGTACAAGCAGTTTTATAGTCAAGCAAGTCACAAAATGCGATTCGTAACTTCACTTGTTTCCCAAGTAACCGCGTGCGCCTCGTTTCACCCCGAGTCGCACACGGAACCGAACCGAATTCGGTGAACACTCCTCAAGACCGAATCTGGAACCTTCTCGAACGCGCCTTGGTCTCAGACCACAATTTCCCCCGTCGATCTCATCCTCGATGCTTCTCCTTCTCTCTTCCTCCATTTCTTTGGTTCCTTCTCGATTTCTCTCCCGCTTCTCACGCCGTAGGCTGATTTCCACCGTTTCACCTAGAATCATCCACGCGCTTCCATTTCGCCGTCATTCCGCCGTCGTAGAGACTTTCGCCATAGGTTCCGTGGTTGGGCGAACCAACCCTAACACTTGCTAGGTTGTGTGCTGTGCTGTATGCACAAGCTTGCTGCCTGACCTGCGTCTGCTGTGAATTTGCATCTCTTCTGTGCTCTCATCTCCCCCCAAGTTCCGTCCTGTCACCCTGCACGTTTCACGCTCTCGCTTCCCCCATCCTGTTCCCCTCCTCTTCCATTCCTCCCCACTCTCACTCCTCCTCGCCACATTGAGCCGTCACTCCCGCCCGCTCTTTGCCTTCTCCGCGGCCCCTTTCTCAATCCCCCGGTTCTCCCCCATCCCATCCACATTCACTCTCCGACCCTCCTCTTCTCTCCCTCTCCCTCCTCTTCCCTTCCTTCCCCCCCTCCCCCTTCCCCCCTGCAGCAACCCCGAGTGCCGGCTCCTCTCGACCCACAACGACTACTCGCTCATGTCGCGCCTGCCGGTGCACAACACGAGCATCATCACCAACATCCGCGACCCCGTGGACCGCCTCCTCAGCTCCTACGAGTTCACCACTCCAAGCCACGACGAGCCGCAATAACAAACCTTTTCTCACTTCCCCTCACCCCCTCGTCTCTCCCCTCGCTCCTCCCCTCGGGAATTCCTTCTTCTCTTCCCCCCTTTCTCCCCTTCCCCGGGCCCCCCTCCCCCTCTCTTCTTCCCTGCAGCAACCCGGAATGCCGGCTCCTCTCGACCCACAACGACTACTCGCTCATGTCGCGCCTGCCGGTGCACAACACGAGCATCATCACCAACATCCGCGACCCCGTGGACCGCCTCCTCAGCTCCTACGAGTTCACCATCGAGACCGCCTCGCGCTCCCTACGCTGGCTGCCGGGGCTCAACCCCGGGCAGAACCTGCTCAAGGTCCGCAGGAGGCAGAGGCAGAGCGTGTCCAGGACTCGCAAGGCGGAGACGAGGCGGGTGTGGCCGTGGAGCATGCTTATTCCGCTTATGGAGGATGACCTGTGGCTGCGGGTGAGTGGCTGGGTGGGAGTGGGGAGAGGGGGGGGGGAGATTTAGACGCCTCAAAGTTCGCAAGGCGGAGACGAGGCGGGTGTGGCCGTGGAGCATGCTGATTCCGCTCATGGAGGATGACCTGTGGCTGCGGGTGAGTGAGTGTGTTTCGTTGAAGGGGTATACAACAAAAATAGAGGCAGTCGAGCATTCTTATACTGCTCATGGAGGACGGCCTGTGGCTGCGGGTGAGTGGCTGGGTGGGTTGGGTGGGCTGGGTGGGTGGGTGCGTGGTTCGGTGCGTGTGTGCGTGGGTGGGTGCTGGTAGTGCGGGCCAATGATGATGTATGTGTAGAGACATTCTGTGGCCGTGGAGCATGCTCATTCCGTTCATGGAGGATGACCTGTGGCTGTGGGTGCTGGGTGTTTGGTGCGCTGGTTGTAGTGAGGTTCAGGGTGATGATTCATGTGACAAGACGGGCTTAAGCGTGGAGCTGCTGGAGCATGCTTACACCGCTTATGGAGGATGACCTGTGGCTGTGCTGCGGGTGAGTGTGCTTTTTTGAAGGGATAGATCATAGAATAGAAGACAAGAATAGTGGTCGTGGCGCATGCTCATTCATTCCACGCTCATGGAGGATGACCTATAACTGTGGGTGAGTGAGTATGTGGTTGGGGGGAGGGGGGAGAGGGGTGGATGGGGGGGAGTGTTCATCATCATCCCTGCGCATTTCCCCTTAACTGCTTCTCTGTTTTCTCCACTCGTTGGTCCCTTTCCCCATCCACTCCCTCTCCTCCCCCCTGTTTTCTCCACCTTATGAGTTGACTGAACAGTCTTGCGTACTTTCTCTCTCGTGCCCCTTTTCTTCCCTCGCTTGTTGGTTTCTCGTGTTCTCAACCCCGCCTTCTCTTTTCCCGATAACCCGTCTTCTCTGCTCTGCTCTGTTGTTTCCTCTGCTCTGCTCAGCCCATTCACTGACGCCCTTTAGCTTCCCCGTCGACAACCCTCTCTCACCCTCTCCCTTCCCAATCCACCGTCCCCTCTCCACTCCTCCGATCTCCCAACCCTCGTTCCCCTCTCCATCCATCTCTCTACCGTCCTCTCCAATTCCTTCCCGCTCTCCTTCCCGCTCCCCTTCCCCTTCCGCCTCTCCATCCCCCCCTCCGCCCCCTCCCCCTCGCCTCTCCCCCTTCCCCTCTCCAGCGATCTACGGTGGAGATTCCCGCGGACCCCCCCGGCAGCGAGGGGTGGAACTCGTATGAGAAGGGGCACCTGGTGATGCCTCTGGACGAGTTCGTGCAGCACCCTGCTGTCTCGGACCTGCTGCACAACGGCGCCACGTTCCAGGTGGGGGAGGGAGGGGGAAGGGTGTGTGTGGGGGGGGAGGCAAGGGAGGAAGGTTTTTCTCTGGATGACTTCATGCAGCGCCCCGCCGTCTCGGACCTGCTGCACAACGGCGCCACGTTCCAGGTGGGGGGGGTGGGGGGGGAAGGAGGGGGGGAGTAGGAAGGGGAGACGCACCTGGTGATGCCTCTGGACGAGTTCGTGCAGCACCCTGCTGTCTCGGACCTGCTGCACAACGGCGCCACGTTCCAGGTGAGGGGGGGGGGAAGGGTCGAGGGAGAGAGGGTGGGAGGGAGGGAGGGAGGTGGGGATGGGAGAGGGGATGGTGGGGTTGAGGCATGAAGGATGGTGCTGAGTGGTGCAGCTAGGTGAAGGGATTTTGTGCTGTTATTGTCTTCCAACCGTCCTTTGTTTCCTCTTTACTCCTCTCCCTCCTCTCACTCCTCTTACTCTTCCCACCCCTCCCACCCCTCTCACTCCTCCCTCTCTCTCCTCTCACTGCTCTCACTCCTCTTACTCGTCTCACCCGTCCCACCCCTGTCACTCCTCTTCTTCTCTCTCCTCTCACTGCTCTCTCTCCTTCCTCTCCTCTCTCCTCTTTCTCCTAGTTACTCTCCCTCCTTGCACCCTCATCCCTCTGTGCATCTTCCTTCCCTTCACCATGCTTCCTTCCTCTCCCCCTTCTCCCCCAGCTCCCCCGTCTCCCCCATCTCCCCCACACCCATTTTTTCCCTCCCCCATCTCCCGCGTCCTTCCCTTTCTCCCACCGTGGGTGCGCCCACCATGGCTCCATGGGCAGGTGGCGGGCATGACGCAGAACTCCCTGCTGCCCAACGCCTGCATGCTGCGGCGCTGCGCACACGCGTACAGGGACTCGGGCGAGCGCATTCTGGACCTCGCCAAGGTGCGGAAAGGGCCTGGGAAAGAGCCCGGGAAACGTGGGTTGGGAAACTCTCGCATGCCGCGACACTGTGTGTGCACACGCGTACAGAGACTCGGGCGAGCGCATTCTGGACCTTGCCACGGTGGACAGGGATGGGGCTAGGTGGAGGGGACGGTGGGTTAAAGGTCCAGGGAAAGGTGTAAAACGCTCGCATGCTGCGGCGCTGCGCACACGCGTACTGGGACTCAGGCGAGTGCATTCTGGACCTTGCCAAGGTGGGGCTTGCGGGAGGAAGGGGTTGGGGAAATGGTGGGGAAGGATAGTGGAAGGTTGGGTGAAGGGAGGGGGAAAGGTGGGGGTGAGGCGAGGGGAATGCGGAGAAAGGTGGGAAATAGTGGGGAAACGTTGGGAAACGGTGGGGAAACGGTGGAGAAACGGTGGGGGGAATGTGGGGCTGAAGCTGGGGCATGGGGGCCAAGCGAGGGGAAAAGAAGGGAGACGGTGGCTTTTGGGAGACTGTGGAGTGGGTTACATGTCTGGACGGAGGAACTTTTGAGAATTCTCAGAAGCGGAGGACGGAGACTTGGGAGGCTGTGGAGTGGGTTACATTACATGTCCGGACGGAGGAAGAAGAGGAGGACGAACGGGAGGGAGATAGTTGTCCTCTCCCTGCCATGACTGCAGTGGGGTGGGACAGGGGAGGGGAGGGGAGAAGAGGAATGGGGGAGGGTGGAAGGCTTTGAAGAGGGATAGAGGAAGAAAGTCATTGGGGGGGAAGTTCCATCTCTCATGGTGCTCATGCTCCCTCACTCCATTCCCCTTCCCCCCCCCCCCCCTTCCAATTCTCTTAAATCTCCTTCTCCCTCTGCTCATTCTCGCCCTCCTCTCCCCCCTTTTCCCGCTCCCTCCGCTCGGATCTGTCCTCCTTGCTGCCCTCTGCGACTAGCCACCATGCTGCACGTGGGGTTGTCAGATCAGACCTTCACCAGCTGCTCCTTCCTCCATGCTGCCCTTCTGCCCATGCCGTCCTAACCCCATGCCACCCCAGCCGCATGCCGTCCTTAACCCACGCATGATTAGGCAGCCATTCTCGGATAGCAGCCATTCGGCAAGTGGGGCTGTCAGATAGAGCTGCGCGATCTGCTTCAATAGACCCTAAACCTCCATTCTCCATGTTACCCCCTCGCGCTATCCTCTCACTCACTCACCCTGTCCCCGCGTGAGCAGGCGCGGCTAGCAGCAATGCTGCACGTGGGGCTGTCGGAGGTGCACAAGCTGCTTACATATACCCTTCAGAAACCTTCACTTCCCATGTTCCCCTCCCTCGCCCTGTCCCCTCACTCACGCTATCCCCGTGTGAGCAGGCGCGGCTAGCAGCAATGCTGCACGTGGGGCTGTCAGAGGTGCATGAGCAGTCGGCGGTGCTCTTTGCCGCCACCATCGGTCGCTCCATGCACTCTGCTGCTCACACCGCTCAGAAGCAGTCCCGGGTGTGTAGAGTGGGGTTTTAGAGGGGTGAGGCACAGGGTAGGTACACAAGCAGGATCGCAGGCAGGCATGCAGGCACGCTCGCAGGCAGGCACGCAGGCACGCACGCAGAGGCAGGCACGCAGGCAGTCACACAGGCAGGCGCACCGCACTGTGGCCGACACAGGTCTCACATGAGGCCCAGTATCCTGCTGTTACCTTTGAGTCCCCATAAACCCACTCACTTGAGGTCGGTCAATGTATTTATCAATAGTAGGTGCATTTCCCTGCCCTTCTTCCCTTGTTCACCATCTGTCTCTCCTTGTCTCTCCTTTCCTCGTCTCCTCTTTTTTCGCCTTTCCACTGCTTCTGCTCTCCTCCTCTCCCCCTCTCCCCCTCTCCTCCTCTCCTTGTCTCTCCTCGTCTACTTTTCTCTCCTCTACTCTTCTCCTCCTCTCCGCCTCTGCCCCTCTCCACTCCTCTCCTCTCCTCCTTTCTTGTTTTCCTTCTCTCCTCTCCTCCTTTCCTCTCCTCCCTTCCCTGCCCCTCTTCCCCTCATCTTGTCGTCCCACATCACCTGCAGTTTGTGCTGTCCCTGTGGCAGAACTACAAGCGCTGTGTGAAGACGCAGCAGGACAAGTACAATTTTTTCAGTCGATTCGAATTACCCCTCCCCTCCCCTCCCCCCCCCTCCCCCTCCGCATCTCGTCTCCCCCACATCACCTGCAGTTCGCACTCTCCCTGTGGCAGAACTACAAGCGCTGTGTGAAGATGCAGCAGGACAAGTACAAGGTCCGCCGATCCATGGCCATTGCCCTGCTTGGACCAGTCAGCTTCTCCAAAGAGGTACGGTACGCCATTTCGTTTCCCTCCACACCTCACTCTTCAGGCGCCTCAAAAGTTGATCCATGGCCATTGCCCTGCTTGGACCAGTCAACTTCTCCAAAGAGGTACGGTACGCCATTTCGTTTCCTCCACACGTCCCTTTGAGAGGTGACGACTGACTCTCTTAGATTGAAAAACGCTTGAGTCGACCCAATTGCCACCTCATCATACCTATTGCCCTGCTAGGACCAGTCACGAGGTGGGTTCTTTCATCCCCACCTCACTACCCTCCCCACTATCCTCACTCGCTCACTCACCTCCCTTTCCCCACTCTCCACCTTCCTGCCTTCCCTCCATCCCCCCCACTTCCCCTCCCTTTTGGTCTGTCTCAAACGTCTCCTCGTCACCTCTCCACCTCTCCTCTCTTCTTTAATTTGGTGACTTTTGAGTCGACTCAAAAGGTGACTTTTGAGTCGACTCAAAAGTCACCTCGTTACAATGGCACACGATACATTTTGAGTCGACTCAAAAGTCACCTCGTTACAATGACCCACACTGCTCTTCGTGCCTCCCACCTTCCCTTCCCCCCCTCCCCCCGTCTCCGCTCTCCTCTTTCCCCCGTCCCACACTCCGCGCCCGCTCCCTGCTGCCTGCACAGGAGCGGATGAGCATCAAGAGCAGCACCTTGGCGCGCATTCGAGAGCTAAACTACCTGGATGTGGAGCTCTTGGACTATGCTCGCCAGCTGTACCAGCTGCACCAGGTGAGTGAAGCGAGGGCTGGGGAGTAGGGGGAGAGACGGGTGAGGGGTTGGAGGGGCAGGAGCGTAAGAGTCTTCTGCCAGCATTCGCAAGAGAGCTAAACTACCTGGATGGGGAGCTCTTGGACTATGCTCGCCAGCTGTACCAGCTGCACCAGGTGAGGTGGAGGGGGGTGAGGGGTTGGGGGGGTGAGGGTTGCAATAAGGGGTTGAAAGGGCGCACTGAGGGGTTTGAGGGGTGCAATGAGGGGTTTGAGTGGTGCCATGAGGGGTTGAGTGGTGCCATGAGGGGTTGAGTGGTGCCATGAGGGGTTTGAGGGGTGCCATGAGGGGTTTGAGATGGTCTGTGGATTGGTGGTTGGAGGTAGTGGGATGGTTGCATCGTAGTAGGCAGGTCAGGGCATGCGTACACAAGCAGCAGCATGTGGGCAGTGAGATATGCGCAGAAGGCTCCATGCTTGCTGCCTTCTCTGCACGTATCCCCTGTCCTTGCCCTTCCTCACATCCCCTCTCTCTCCTCTCCTTGCTCCGTTTACTCTCTTTGTACTCTCTCCGCCTCACTCTCTCTCGCGCGATTCTCTCCGTGGCGGCCCGGGTCTTCTCCCCTCTACTTGACCCTCTGTGCAGGCTGCATTTGCAGAGCAGATTAAGGCTGTGATGGGGCAGGCGAACAGGCGAAGACTGATTGGATCAAGAGGAGCAGCACCCATGGGAACAGAGAGGGGGGTGGGATCCGGTGGGGATTCTGTGGGCATGTCGGAGCAGGGGTTTGACCCTGCTTGGCTGAGGCAGCAGGCTCGCAGCAACCGTGTTTTTCGAGAGGAAGCTTCTGAAGATTCGTTTGCTGCTGTGAGGAGAGAGGGAAGTGAGGAGGAGAGGAGTGGGGAAGGTGGAGGGGCGGATCGGAACTGGGATGAAGAGGGGGAGGAGAGGGAGGAGAGGGAAGAGGGAGAGGAGGGAGAGGAGGGAGAGGAGGGAGAAGAAGGAGAGAAGGCTGAAAGGAGTACGGTGAGAGAGGGAGGGGAGGATCAGGATGGTGATTTCGCGGATTTTGGGATTGAAGAGAGGGAGGAGAGGGACGAGGAGAGAGCGGAAGGGATTGAGAAGAGTGAGGAGAGTGAGGAGAGGGAGGAGAGGGAGGAGAGGGAGGAGAGGGAAGAGAGAGAGACCGGGAGAGAAGGCGGGGAGGATCAGGAGCGAGAGATGGATTTGGACGAGAGTGAAGAGGCGGCTTTGGGGGATAAGGGCCAGCTGGGGAACGATAATGCCGGTGGTGAATACATGGAGGTTCAGCAAGCAGGGTTGGATGAGGAGGGCCTTTCGCTGGGTACTCTTATCGCTCGCAATGATGGTGATGATGCGATGAGACTTTCTGTGGATGCTGACTTGAGGCAAGTGGAGGGGTTTGTCGTGCCAAACCTTGTGAAGAGCTCAAGCCGTTGCCGCCAATGGGCGGCAGTCCACGGAGGTGAGAAGGGTGCAGTTACGTGTGTTTCGAGTTGAAAGAACTGTTTATTGGTGTTTCTAGCTGAGTTTGGGATCCCAGCAGGATTTAAGAGGGTGAACACACAAGCTCTCGTTGTAATTCCATGGTGAAGCGAAAGGATAGTCGTGTAGAGCAGATGGGCATATCAAATCATTTAGCTGTTATTGACAGAGGTAAGCCTTGTGGACACTAATGTGACTGTAACGGGTCCAGAAATAGCGGGTTGTGCCTATGGGTACTTCGTAAATAGGAGATCTTTTTTTTTTTTTTTTTTTTTTTTGGTAGGTGAAAATGCATTATACAACGTACAACGCAAAACACCGTCGGTCGTAACCGGAGCTAGAGGGCATAGGTAGTGTACCGTACCCTCGCAGAAATCTACGGAGGCTTATAGACCAAACGCCTAAAAACTTCAACTTGCCCGCCACAAAATCTAACTGTGCCGTTGCCACACTTCAACTCTGGCAGAAACGCCTCGGTAGGTTCCAGGTTCTGTATCTGTTGCTTCAGCTTGGAAGAATTGGCTCCGAGCCTGCCCTGCCGTGCCTTGTAAAAAGGTTGGGTTCCAACAGAGAAAACCCTGGTTCGAAATTGCTGCCGTGCAGGACTTTGGTGACGGATGTTCAGTCTTGGTCCTTTGGCTCCAAAACTGATTCGCCGAGAGTGGTGGGGTTGGGTTGGGAGAGCAGAAATTGCCCTGGTTCGCAGTTCGAAATCGCTAAAATGTCGTTAATTGGGCATAAACATGGACATCGTTGATTTGACGTCACCAAACGCCATACAATTTTTGCTTTATCAGCTAGACACCCACAATGTAGGGGATATGATAGATGCTCATGCTAGATGTTGAAAAGAGTTGCACATGTCTGAAATATCAATTGCTCGTTTTGGCCTTTTTTTCGGATCTCTCTGCTTCAGTCAAACAAGAGGGAGTCCCCTTGTACCCTTGGGTGTAAAAATAAAGGGGTCGATTATATCGGTGTTCAGTCCAGGTGCAGCTGTACCCTTCTAGCCCGCTGCACTCCATCCATTCATAAAACTGAACAGTTGCCTTATCCTGGAGCTGCCGGGTTCTGTACACTTTTCTTTTTGCTCCGTTGCATGCCAACTCGGCACAGGTTGTGGTGTGGTGGGTGTTCGTTCAATGACGTGCTGACGTCCTCTACATATTGCACTTTCTGACTCGTGCCAAATCTGACCGCCGAGCAGCGGAAGACTATTGCTTTATCACCCAGCTATCCAACTAGAGCCACCTAATGGAAGCGCGACTTTACGGATTGGTCGAACGGGAAATAGGGATGGCCAGGTCATGTCAGTCCAGGTATTACTGTAGCAGCAGAAGTTATGCAGATCGCGCGCGTCTCGGCCGGAACAGAATGAACAGTGGTTGGTGTGGGTGCATAGCATGATCATGCGGGTAGACAACGTCGCACCTCGGCGCCAGCGCGGCAGCGAGATGTTGGACACGAGTCACACGACGCGGTCAGACTGGTATATACATTGCACTGCCAGCTTTGTTAGAATTCGCCGACTTTTCAACTGGCCGCGTCATTCACGGCTCACCGCTCACGTCGCGTGTCGGGATGCTCGAGTCACGACAAACTATACCACCACCTCACGAAGTGGCAAGTCAGCCCCTCTGGTTCTACCAATGCCGCGGGTCCAAGCCGCAATTCGCGCAAGCATCGTTCCAAAGGATGCATCATTTCATGCCACGTGTAGGAAGCCCGGGCGCCCGCACTTTATTCGCTCAGGCAGAATCACCGCCATTGGCAATGGCAGTCGCTACTAGCTCAAACCAACCACCTACCCTCAGACGGACGGGACGTCCCCCAGGCTATTTCAGATCGGACACCAGTCCCCACCCCAACCAAGTCCGAGTCGGCCGGGCCTGGGGAGGGGAGATAAGCAGTGGACGTCCCTCAGACGATCCCGGGTCGGACCCCGTGATTGTGGCGCCACGAATTCTGCACTGCACTCCCCCTCCCCACCCAACCACTCGGCTGGGCCTAGCGGGTACACCTGGGAGAGAAGAAAGGGACACTTGCCGCTTGCCGAATCTGCTCGGTTTCGCCTATGTTCGTCTGAGACTGAAAACAGCAGCATTGTTGAAAAGTGAGCGCCAGAGTTGGGAGTTCTGTTTTCGGCATTTCTGCGAGAGAAATGATATCTTCCAATCTGAAGGATAGTAGGATTCCCCACAATCTCGGTGGCAGCCCGGTCATTGTTAACCTGCTTCACGGCTCTAGTAGTCGTTATTCCTTGGTGAATCCTTGAGTCTCGGTGAGCCCGGTCACCCTGTCAAGCGTGCGTACTCGTGGTACTACTACCAATACAACTACATGGCGTCCCGTCATCATCGGCTTGTAATGAAAGCGACCGTGGCGGTCGTTCTCAGCGCGGCCGAGCAGCAGCAGCAGCAGCACCGTGCTGCTGACAACATGAAGACCCACACTATTATGCAGCCGGCAAAAACAGTGAGCGGCTGCTACAACAACCATGGCCTTTCCTCTGCGCAGGCCCTGCCGCGATTCATGGGCTCCCAGGATTCTCTTCACCATGATCCCCCGCCTTTTGACGTGGCTAAGGTGACGGAAACACCACGGTATCATGTCTCAGCAGCAGCAGCAGCCGCAGCAGCAGGAGGAGGAAGATCCATGGTACTCAGCGCAGGACGACCAGGCGCATCGACAAGCCTACTAGGCGCGTGGGAGGAGCAGCATGACAGAAATTACACATGCTCGGAGCAGCATGACAGAAATTACACATGCTCGGAGCAGCATGACAGAAATTACACATGCTCGGAGCATCATGACAGAAATTACACATGCTCGGAGCATCATGACAGAAATTACACATGCTCGGAGCATCATGACAGAAATTACACATGCTCGGAGCATCATGACAGAAATTACACATGCTCGGAGCATCATGACAGAAATTACACATGCTCGGAGCATCATGACAGAAATTACACATGCTCGGAGCATCATGACAGAAATTACACATGCTCGGAGCATCATGACAGAAATTACACATGCTCGGAGCAGCATGACAGAAATTACACATGCTCGGAGCATCATGACAGAAATTACACATGCTCGGAGCATCATGACAGAAATTACACATGCTCGGAGCATCATGACAGAAATTACACATGCTCGGAGCATCATGACAGAAATTACACATGCTCGGAGCAGCACGATGAACACCATGATGACCAGCATGATGAGCAGCGCAGGCAGCACCATCATCCTCATCATCATCATCATCTGCGCATCATGCCGCCTAACGCCAGCGGGTGCCCGGTTCCTCCTCGCCCCGCCCACTCATCGTCTGTGACACGCAGCTTCCCTCGCAGCACTTCCCTGCCTCTCCAGACGCTCGCTCCGACTCTTAAAACGCACTCCGCCGCCTCCTCCGGACACTCCTCTCCTCCTTCCAACCCCCCGTTTCCCTCCTCCTCAGGCCCTGCTGCCGCTGCATCCTCGTCTCCCTCGTCTGATTCTTCTTCAGCAAAAGAACCCACTTCGACCAACCAGATTCACTCCCGTGAATTCCCATCCTCCCTCTCTTCCCACAATCAGCATTCACAATCAGTCACTGTCGTTCCGAAACGCCGTGAGCTCGTCCGTAGAAACACCGCACCTGCCCAGCGTGAGCTAGTAGTCGTGCGTTCAAACCTAGCGAACAGGCCCACAACACGGAATCTATCCAACAGGCCCACCACAAGCCCCGTCAGCAGCCCTGAAAGCAACCCTAGAGGGAGCTTGGAGTTCAGCCCAAGTCAGCTGAGTTTTTCCGAATCTAAAGGTCCGAATCAGCCGGGCCTGCGTTCGAAATGCTCATGCATCAGTTCAAAACTAACAGCTGAAAGCCCGGATGATTACGCTGCAAGCCGGAAGCTTGTTCGGCGCGTGTCGTTCAGTAGCGTTGTGCAGGTGAGGCGGGTGATTGACTTGCATCCTGATGCTGAAATACTGCAGTGACACTGACGGGAGATACTCGAATGCTATCTTCTATGACCAACGGGGCAGCAATGCTGTTCCCTGCAGCAAGAGGGAGCAGCAGCAGCAGCAGCAGCAGCAGCAGACCACATCCCATGACTCTCACTCCGGCCAATCAGCTACTTTCATGATTCACCATCCAGCCTCCACTCGCTCCCCCGCATCCCCTTTACAGCTGCCCGCCTTCCCCTCCTCTCACTCTTCTCCCTCTTCCCCCTCTTCCCCCTCGTCCTCCTCTTCCCCCTCTTCCCCCTCTTCCCCCTCTTCACGCTCTTCCCCCTCTTCCCCCTCTTCCCCCTCTTCCCTTTTTTCCCCCTCTTCCACCTCTTCCCCCTCTTCCCGCTCTTCCCCATCTTCCTGTCTTTCCCGTTCAACCTCCGTCAGTATGTCTCACCATCTGAAGCCCCACCCTCCTCCACCTCGCAGCTGCTCTCACTCCTCCCTCAGCTCCTTGTCCCAAACCTCACCTTGCTCCTGTTCCACGTCTCGCCAACATGCCTGCACTGCCATGCTCCCCTCCCCAGCTGCTAGGAAGCTGATCGCACGGCTTCGTGCATCAGCAGCAGCATCAGCAGCAGCAACAGCACCACCAGCCAGGCAGGGCGAACAACTTGTGAGTGGTGCTTGAGTGCCACCACTATAACTACAATCATGGTCAATGAGACCACTGGTAAATAGTGTAACCCACTGATGTTGCATCTCCCTTTGTTTGGATTGTCAACATTACAAACCTACTAATTTTGTGTTGAATACTAACAATGCAGTGATGAGATATATGATATTCACCCCTTGTTGAAGTAGCTCTAGACCTGCAAGGCTGCAACATCCTTTAGTGGAATTACCGTAGGCAGAGGCAAGGTCGGACTGAAAGTTACTCAACTGTAATTAGTGTGCGACCAAACTATATGAGATTGGTTTCTATTCACATCAATGGGGCTCTGCATTGGGCATTCCAGCACTGTATTTGCTTGCTGGGAACTTCGCAGCAAACAGGAAGGTCTCTGCCTATG